AGCCATCCAAATCCGTACTCTCCAATCGCCTTCCATGCCTCGAGTGACACCCCATCTGGACCAACCGCCTTCCCTACCTTCATCTTCCTTAGTTCTCGCTGAACCTCACCTCTGTCCAGCGTGAGATGGGACCAGCCGTTGCCTCTCTTTGTGGAGTGTCCTTGTGAGGGAACTGCTTTTACAGGAATGCATTGTACTTTTCTTCCCACTCCTCTTGACTTTAGTTCGCCTCCTCAAGATGGCCCCATTGCTGCTCTTTATAGCCCCCCCCCCACCCCTCATTACGAGATCTTGTGTAGTTCGGCGCAGAGCTTTGGCCAGTCTGTAGACGTTCTCCGCATGCCGATTCTCCAACTTCTCGTACGAGGCATCCATTTCCATGACCTCTGCCTTGGCAACAGTAGCGTTCGCAAGCTTTTTGCAGGCTTTGTAGGCATCGAGATCGTCCGAGCTTTGCGTTCTGCCAGCGTTTTGTACCCATTCTTCCGCTTCAGTACTTGCTAAAGAACTCGCTCCAGAACTACGCTGAACTGTCTCGCCTTAAGCCACCTCAGGTTTCTCCCAGTACCTCCTTGGTGCATCGAAAGATGATCTCAGTCGCGTTGCTCCAAGTCCACTGTACTGGCCCGTCAAAGCCGTGAGACGAAGTTTAGTTATCCTTCGTTTGAGGTCGCCCTACTCTGTTCGGAGAGACGTGCGTTTCTCCCCCTGAGGTCAGGTCACCACAGCTGCGCCATCATTGAAGCTCAAGGTTAAGTTTGGGTTTAGACTTAGGTTAAGGCTTATGCTTACACTTACACTTGTGCCTAAGCCTATGATTGGGCCTAGGCTTGTCCTAAGCTTGCTGCGGGCGAATGAACAGCGTCTCAATTTTAGGTGCCCTGACCCCAGCAGGAGAAACGCTACGCACCCCTCTGTTCGCTGCAGCTTCAACAACCGGACTCTTTGCTCGGTTCCTACCCTTGTCTTCTTCGAGAGGCTTATGGCAATGTCTGCCACGAGGGACGTGTGCTGCGGCGCCAATTCTTCGCCAGTGATTACCTTGCGGAAGGAACTATAGAGCAGTTCAGCAGGGAATCAACTCAACGTCTTGCTGCATGTTAGCCCGGCCACTAACGCTGGGCATTACCGCTTTATAACTCCGTTCAGAGAATCACTTAGCGAATGGGGGAAGCTCCACATTTCAAGGCAAATGCAACAGTGTATACATCACTTCAAAAAGGCAGACCGCCTTATCAACTTTTCCTGGTTAATGGCACTTTTCCCGATTGAAAAATCTGAGCAACGAGTTTCAAAAGTGAAAGTGTGAATGCTAAAGGGCTAGGGTCACCCTAAAACATCAGAGCAGATTAGGCCGCCTGCAAGACTGTAAGAGCTTCCCATTTTGTAGCTCAAGTAATATCGAAGAGATATCAGATTGGGTATCAAGGTGGTGGAGCCATTGGGTATCAAGGTGGTGGAGCCATCGAACAAAATTGAAATTCAGAACCTCTGCTTCACATATCCACATACTCATTCATGAAATTGTTACAATAAGTAAACTTCAGGCAATTACCTTGCTCTCACAAGGATTTCATTTCTTCAAGGGCGAAGCTAATGATTAGAAGGCAGCCCATTAGGATCAAAGTGGAAACTGTCCATGATGGCGGAATAACGACAACATCATGATGAATGGCCCTAAAATCAACCAGCATTTAGGATCAAAGTGGAAAACTGTCCGTGATGGCGGGATAACGACTAACATCATGATGAATGGACCCTGAAATTCAAAAATTAGTACTTCTTTTGCCCGTTGATTTCCGCATTGATGTCGCTCTTATCGCTGCTGCCCTCTTCAGCGCTAACGATCTCTTTGCTAAACAGTCAGACTCAGGCAGCCAGGGTTTATGAGTGCCGAGGCGCGAACTGGGACGGCTATGCTAGATCGCCGGGGGTATATCCTTCGCTGCGAAGGCGTGTCGGTTCCACCCTTAAGCGTTTCGCCTGTCCTTTCAATAATAAGTTTTTCCTTCTTCGACTTCAACCTTATCGTGCAATCCTCCTTCAATAAGTCATGAATGTGCTGTTAAATTACAGTAGTGGAACGGTTTTGTGGCAGGAGCTGTTTGTGGGATAGATGATTAATGTTGGCCAACGCTTCCGTAATATGCCAACCGTCTACTTCCATCCTCCCTTCAGTACAATGGTAGTGTTAGCACTGGCTAAGAAGAGGAGACGGAAGGTTTCTAAACTCACTAGCGGAATAACTCTAGAAGTTGTTCACACGACTCAGAGCGCTGGCTCAGGAGGTATGTGAGGCATGGTTGGGGTGTCTTTTGATAGCTGTAGCCATGAATTTTACAATTCAGTTTGAGCTTTTCTTTCAGTTGTTCAAGTCCTTTATGTTCTAAATATTGTATTCGTTATAAGGTTATGAGAAAATTTTCGCGACTTTCACCTCATGACGCTCCTTGCTCTTCAACTTCGACGCTACCATATCCTACGGTCTAGATAATAAGGTATGCCATCTGACCTAGTTCCCTCTGCCAGCGGCTTCCAGTGGATCACTCGATGTGCTCCAACAGCGACACAGGAGCATCTTCTTCAGATGAGGTTCGTGTTTTGGCGAAGGAACTTTCATTTCTCCGGCGCTGACACTTCCTACTGCCCAATTGCTTTGAGAGCGCTTCGCTTGATGAGGATTGGTGATCCCGCTTGATCCCCCAAGACGAGGAGAACATCGATGTCAACTTCGTCCGTCCTCCGACGTGAACGTCTTCGTTTAGCGAAATGGCGCTAGATTCGAAGCGAGCGAGCTAACGAAAGGGGTGGCCTGTTACACAGTGTCAGGGCCTACCGTCGTGCTGATTCTCGTCGTCATATCGCTAGAGGTGGAGCTCGGCGGTATAAGATGCAGCGATTCATCTCAAAACGCCCTTTTTTACAACCGTAGAGACTGGAGAATGCAACTAGACTGTTCAGTGGTCCTGAAGATCCCTTCTCTATATAGACGCCCTTTTATGATTGTTTCTGGAAGCCTCTAAGGAAGTTCGGACCAAAAATCAAGATGCTGAAAGAATTTCCCATAACCTAGTGTTCACAGAATTCGACCACTTCATCCTATTTGTGCCAGCATTTTTTGCAATTGAAAATCAATTATTGCATTTCTCACCAAATTTATGAACTAGACGATTGTTTCAATAACAATCAAAATGTCAATATGGTCATCAGGACTTCCATATGAACAGTGTTTCGATTTTTATGAAGTGACTCCAGCGCTGGGCGAAGGATTCGACGTCGATAGGCGGGTCTGAATAACACGACAGCTGATTCTAATTCTCCATATTCATTCCATTCGATAATGTTTCTCGTCGTGAAATCAAGAAAGACTGTCTGCTTTTGGCAACAAAGTGGACAAATTCATTCGATCAGCAGGAAATGAAAATCGAACACGAACTTCCTGGCTCAACATCTCATCTATCCGGCGCTTTTCCATGTCTTTCTGGCTCCTTTATTCTTCAAATGAGAATTTCCCTTTTATTCTTATCATTGACACCTTTTGCAATGAGAACTACGACCGATGATGAAGTACTGAATTCACGACTTCACAAAAACAGTTACTTTCGGTGGTTCCGTTTCACCGCTCTCCGATTTCCGATTTTGGCCAGTTTTTCTGTGCACTCGTGGAAGCTCATTACATTGGATAATGTTCTCGTTGTGAGATCAAGAGAGAATGTATGCTTTTGCTAACAAAATGGACAAATTCATTCGATCAGCAGGAAATGAAATTCGAACACGAACTGCGTGGCTCAACATCTCACCGATCCAGCGCTTTTCCACGTCTTTCGAGCTGCTTCATTTTTCCAAATTGACATCTCACCCTTTCGCCATGAGAAGTATTGCTGATGATGAACGTACAATGTGCTGAATTCATGATTTTGCAGAAACTGGCTGTTTGCATTGCTTCCATTTCACCGCTCTCCGTATTCCGATTTTCGCCGTTTTCCTGTGCATTCATGAAAGCTGAGGGAGTGCGCGCCCGCTTCTCGTCTTTATCACTGCGACTCGGGTTTCCGGTCTTGATTAAGTGCAGGTCGTGATGACTCGTCTCGTCGATGAGGTAGTGCGCGGATCGTACGGCGAATTGTTTGGTCTGTGGCGGTGCACGGGCTCCCCTACCCCGTCCCATCGAATGTTGTGCGGCCGAGAGCACCGTGCCTCGGCATTTGGCTATATTTGACGTGTTTGCGTTGCGAGACGCATTTACCCCACGTTCCTGATTCAGTATCCGTTCCGTAGGTATTAACTGTATCCTCTCAAAGATCTCTACTGATCCACATCTCATCACCACTTCAGCCCTTTTTTCTCTAATGGCTTCACGAGTTACCTCTCGAAGCAAGGCATTTCAAGCTTTTTCCGTGGAAACGAGTTCAAGGCAGAACGACCTTTTCCCTTGTCTTCCCCACCCTCCTACAACGACCATTAGAAAGATTGCACTCGTCTTTGCGCTGTAATCATCTTTATATCTATGCCTGTCTTTTTCAGCTTCATCCCCTTCATCGTTCTCTTCTCCACTTCACCTTGATCTCTTTGTCGACGCCAACGTTTCCATGATATGGACGAAAATCGTCAGCTTTGGATCAATATACAATGCGAAACGTTTACAAATTGGATCAATCAGCAGGTGCCTATTATATTTCAAAAACGCCGACGTCATAATGCCGTTATCCATGTGTGTCACTGTGTGTGTGCCGAATCTTTTTCATTACATGACTTTCGTAAAAACCTGTAGCCACCTGCGTTGACGTTTTTCTGGAATTTTCGCTTCCCTCCATCTGAAATACAGTCTCATTTGAAAGGTTTCTCACATTTCACGGAACAGAAATTCAACTAATGAGCTACAGCATATGCTTTTTTTTAGAGTTTACCTCCATTTATCTGCTTAAAACTTCATTCTTCCAGTTAGTGTCGAAGTTTGTTTGCAAATGTCTCCTAATAAGTGCGTTGATGTGTGCGTAGCGATGGAGAGCTGCACAAGCTCGAGCTACCTCGACTGGGCATTATTGACATGTGACTGGCTATCCCTCACACTAGGATTTGACGGTTTACTGGCAGTGAGAGTCAATACAGTACCTTATTCGCGTGTCTTGAGCTGATTCTCTGAGATATGCCCGACAGTTGTGCATAGTATCGGACGTTTGTTGGGGCGAAATTCTCACAGGAAATTATGGATACTTGCTTGAATGCTCAGATAAAATATTGTCATAATATCATACGCCAATGCCTTCAATTGGAAGACGGGTATCGATTTTACGCACTGTGGTCGGTATTTATTTTATCATTTCCTTAGGAAGTCCGTTACTTTTTTAATAATAAATTTTGTCGAATGACAATTTCTGAAATTTAATATATTCACAATTTAGATAGTGGATATGAATAAATAAAATAACTAAAGCGCTTATGATTTCAGATAGAAGCCCCAAAAATCTCAGATTTGTCACGTGATCTCGCTAACGGTATTGTACTGATTCGGCTTATTGAGTCTCTTCAAGGCCGAAAGTACTATGGAAAGGTAACATTAATTTTCTTCACATAGAAACCAGACTCCATAGACTCCATAGACTTCTAGTTTTTTTTACTACTTTACCGAGTCATACTACTGACCACTGAATGAAATCGTTTCCGAGTACGCTTGAGAGCTGGATCTTAAAACTAATTAATACAAGCCTTGCGTGCAGAGGTTTATAGTCTAGCGCAGGGAGAGCCACAATCAGTTCCACGATGAATGGCTTGAATCGCATTCAGGTTAATGATCCCTCCTTCATAATTGATTTACTCGTACCAGAGTTGGGTAATAAATTAAAAGCGCTGTGACTGGTTTCCATACATAAGGTAAAGGACAATAGACACATTTAAAACTTCCGTGTTTCAAGATAAAACGGTTTTGAATAGGAACTGAGCGCATCCTACTGGGGTTCCTCACTCACCATGAAAATTGTCTACTCCAGAAAATTTCTGTCACAATGTATGAATTTCTACCCCCAGCTCCCTAAAAATTCGAAACTGCACTGATTTTTTGATTTGATTTAGGTAATTCGATTGAGCCTCTGAGTTCCTTGTGATTGAAAACGCTCTGAGATTTACCTTCTTCGCACTTGCCTGATCCTGAAAAAGTCGCAAAAAAGTGGCTGCGGTCGTGGCCACACACTTCTCCTCGTTCTTTTCTTTTGAGGGCCTCCAACAGCTGGTTTCCCAAAGGTGTCCAGCCTCTTGCCAGCTGTGATCGCAGGCTCTTGCTAATTTGGGACGCTAAGACTCAGTCGGAGCTCTCGCTTTCGAAGTTGGAATGAAAATCTCGATTCGGCTTGAAATCAGAGTGTTTTGATCTCCTGGGCAGGGTTAACCCTATGTTGTTACTAGTAACAACGGGGGGGTCGTACCTGGTTGGGATTGTAGGAGGGGGGGGGGTTAGTGTAGTATAGGTTGGGAGTTGGGAGCGCGCGAGAGAAAAATTTGCCGTTTCAGCGCGCATATATACCCCCCGCTCGACGGCATTTTTGGAGAAAAAAGTGGGCAGGGTTTGGTGCTGGTTGAGTGGTACCAAAATTAAATACTATAGAGAGGAATATGGTGGTGGTCGAGGTGTGGAAAAGAGGGTCGTACCAAGTCCACCTTGGGGGAGGGGGGTCGTAAAAATTTTTCAAAAAGTAACAAGGACCGACCCTGCTCCTGGGCCTGGCGCTGGAGGCGCTAGCCAAAGCAGTCTTGAACACTGGAAACTTGGAGAACTTGCTTGTCGGGTCACACTGGATCCGTGGGTCACCAAAAGGTCAATCCAAGTTTACAGTCAGTTCCACTCTCGGGACAAGTTTTGAGAAAGGATGAAGCTCAAAGTTTAGAAGGTAGAGCTTTTAAAGGCTATGTCTGAGATTTGGACACAATCAAAATCTTGCACGAGAAGTATGGTGTGGAGCGCGAGCTCGCTCAGAGCATGCGATCCCTTGGCGCCGCGGGCAACAAGTCTGAGGCGCTGAGGCTTAGGGAATCACCATATACTCCGCCCGCCACCATAGACCCCGCCCCAAATCTATGCTATTTTGCTTTGCTGTTACTGTTAGGGGGGGGGAGGGGAGGAGGAGCTCATTTTTCGTCCTTGTCGACAGTTCCTTCCTTTTTTTTCGTTGCTGCTGTTACACTTCACATCTCCACTATCACTACCAAACTCATTTACACAGCTCGATCCCGACTTCGCTTTCAGGTACAGTACTTATTACTTACCTCTTTCGAGGCAGACCATGTCCGTTTCATAACGAGCGAACTGAAAGCATTGTGGATGAGATCTAACTCTTTTAAAACTAGCGATTTTCGATGAGATGTCGAAGGAATTTCAGATATATGAAGATGAACCGACGGAAATCCAAATGTTACTCAATGTACAAATGGCGTTAGACGCTCTCAGAGAGGATGGCATAAAGACAGTCAATATCGGTACGAATATCCTATAACACTTTCATAGGTGTGAGATCCGAGGAAGGTCAAAGTAGTGAGTGAGCTGTAAACTGCTCGGATGCTGGCACGTGTACCTGGTCCACTATAAAGTTATGCCCCGCAAGTCGGTTTTCATGTTCTTCTATGGGATTGCAATTAGTCGCTATCTTTTGTCTTTCTCTTGTTTTTCATCCAGGTGTTTTATAGTGAATATATCATGTCATACTTTTTTGAAGGCTTTGTTAGCGGCATTTCGGCCTTTCCTTCCAATCGTGGCTAGAAATTTCTGCGCATTGTTCTCGACAGTACTGAAATCGGTACGCGTTGCGAGAACCTCCTTCCCATTTCACAGTATCCTTAAAGGCAGTGCTCCTTATGGCTGAGGCGGTTACCACCACAGCACCAGCGTGCTGGTCGTCCCATGGCGTTCATTGACGTCATCAAAATTGTACCGCCTTCCATTCATCGTGATCACTGCCTTGAACGTTCCCAATCCATTTCTTTAGGAGTTCCACTAAGTGAGCATTCACAAAACCCAGAAACGGCGAATTTCTCTACCAGCTCAATGAATTCTAATTTTCTCGAGATTGCTTCCTGAAATCCTTGAATCTCAAAATTCTTGGCACTTTTTAGTTAGAGCCTTGCCGATACCGATATTTGCCAGTCAAAAGACTAAATAGAACCCATGAAATTATCATCGTATGGGGAGTTTATGCAACATTGAAGGCCAAAAATTCCTCAGAACTCACTTTCTCCCACATCCCTTGAAAACCCTTCAATTCCCTAGCAATACTCGCCATTTTATGCTGACCTCTGTCGATACACTCGCTCCCGAAACGGACCAGATACGCTCCCCCGTCCCCGCCCCCCCCCCCAATGCTACGGATTCCGCCGCGCATGCTTGACTCTTACGGACCATGGGCTGACAACGTGCTTACCAATCGTACACTAGTTGCAGCCGAATTGGAAATTGAAACGAGAAGTGCCGAGCGCTTGCCGATTTTCGCTAAGGCGATTTTCTTGTTGACCCAGCTGTTGAATTTGACCATTGCTTCACGAAGGCCTGCACAGCTTTACAACGTCGGCGAAAGGAGAGTCGAACTTTATTTCTCCTTATAGGCAGCCATGACGTGGTTGAGGGCAACACAAAACTCATACTCGGACTTATTTGGTGTCTCATTCAACGATATCAAATCGCATCACACAGCAAAATTCCACCGAAAAAGCTCATGATGGCTTGGATTCAGGTAAATTTTTGTTGCTTTTTAATGAATCCTTATCATCTCAGTACAATAATTCAAAAAGGTATCTTCAACTTAAACTTTCACTGCTCTTATTTTACCTGGCTCCAATTCTTCTGTAGTCGGTGCTGTTTTTAACACACTGACGTCAGCGTGAGGCGCATGCGTGTCAGATTTCAACAAGATGAATGGTCCTGCTTGATTTATGTTTTTTTTTTTCATGTTCCAAAGCCGCCATCTATTTTATCGCAGTAATAGTATCTTTACATGCAATAGAACTTTTGAGGAGTTATGAAATTTTTGAATTTTTTTTCATAGGACTACTTTCACATATAAAACGTTTAGGTTTATGAACACATATGAGACCCATAGTAGATTTTGTTGGCCGGAATCAGCTTGCGAATCCAGCGAATCGTTGAATCAAAAAAAAACAAATCAAATCGAGTTCTGACGCGGGCCTTTCACTGAGTTTTGAGCAGACCTTCACCTTCGTCTTGTATTTTTTCTTCTTCAAATTTGGCAGTTTGATTTCAAAGATACCCATATGATGGATGGTAGTGTTGGAAGCGTACCCTCAGGAGCACATTTAGCTAGCTTGAGCATTAATGCTCTGGTTTAGTCAGTTTTACCGGAAATGAAACTCACAAACTTCCGGACAAACTGGAATGATGGCCGAGCATTGAGTGCATTGTTGGAATACTGCCAGTCCGGTTTGTGTCCCGAGTGGAAAGGATTGGATCCTGGGAAAGGGTAAGCACCTTTGACGTTGTGTTCTTTAAAACGGCTCTGTCAATTTTCTTTTCAGCCTGGAAAATTGTGAACGTGCTTTGAAACTAGCCAGTGAGTATCTGAACATCCCACCGATTATATCTGCCACGCACTTGAATAGCCCTCACTTGGACGAGTTGTCATGTATTACTTACTTGTCATATTTCATAATGAGAGGAGCATGTGGTTATCAAGCGACACTCAGACGAGTTCAAACGGTGAGGGTCTTTTATAACAAGTCGTTCCAATTCATATATTTCAAGGTCATTTGTTAGTGGAGGTCGCTTTGAAAATGTAGGCAGTGCTATCTGGCCCCACTCAAATTTTCCATTGGGGTGTGCTTGTTATTTTACCGGGTAAGAGACTGGAAGGTGTACAAAGCGCCCACGCGTTCGGTATGACCTTTGTCTTCAAAGCCAGTGATCATGGTGACTCGATGTCACTGCAGTTGTGGTGATGCCATCGAATGACATTTGTGGAATAGAGATAAGGGGTAGTCTCAAGTCCCCAGCGCTGAGGGTTTGGGTTCTCGATAGGAGGCCCATAGCATGGCGGGAAGGCAGAGACGCAGGCGGATCAGCGGATGTGTCGTAGCGCGTACGGTGCGATGTGGGGAGTACTATAGTACATTCTATTTAACTTGACAGTGAATCGCTCGTTACGCGCTGCGGCTAGTCCGGTGACCCTTCTGCAGCTTTGGCTTCTCGCCGCGTGAAGGGCCTCCTCTCGGGTACCTTGAAGGGTTTAGTCCACCCTTGACGGTTAATGACGTCATCAAAACCGCACCGCCTTCCAGCCATCAGGATCACTTACCTTTATTGCTGTCACAATATTTCTTCATCTGGATATCAAAAAGATGTTGAAGTGCATGACTCAGGAAAGGTGGCTTTATTGATCCGTCCTAATCCCGTTCGAACCTCTGAATTGTTCCCTTTCTGTCTTTCTATCAACCCTTATTCATGTCTAAGCCCTGACACACCATTTTCTCATTGGTATGGGCAATTCCATGACTATGATGAACCAGTCTAGGATAAAGGTCGATTGGTGTAGTAGATTCAGGTTTGCCGTAGACTGGAAGCTTCAGAAATGCTGTTGCGGTTCTGATGAGACCGGCACACAACACCTAGTCAGTATGACCGAAATCATTTTTCATTTTTTTATCTGAGAATAGATCGCGACGCTCATGTCGTTAGTGGTGATCTTGAAGTGAGTGAGCCCCTTACAGAACATGGGACTAAGCCTAAGGGAGGAGAGGCATTCTGGGGAAAAATGTGAGCAACGTTTTGTTCTCTATGACGTTTCTCCCCTCTCCTAGGCTTTATCCTAGTGTCACCTATCAGCGGTTTTCGAATGCCTTGTTTTAGGCAACCCTCCCCCCCCCCTTCCGAGGCATAAGCGCCTACATAGTTATGAAATGGCGCTGGGGTCCAATTTCTTGAACTTTTTGGAAGAAAGGGACGAAGAATTTGGGTATAACTGATAAGTACTCTTTAGCTTCTTCCGGACAGCATAATTGAAGGTTTTGAAACGTCATGGAGTGATGGCTACCTATTTGCGCTTCTCGTTGAAGCCGTCGGAGGCCCGGTTCGTTTTCTGAACACAATATAGCACTTTCAAAAAGTATAGCACTTATGTAAAAAAAAAAACTATTTTTTTCAGGTAGTTGATGTGGAACAGATGAGATTCGATACATTTGAGGATTGCGTTGACAATATCAATATAGGTTCGAAAGTGCTTTCCTACGGTTCAATTCATTTTTTCCCATCTCCATTTTCAAAAGTTTTACTACGTTGAATTTTTGTTTCAATTCGCGTTTGAAATTTTTTTTTCGACAACAATCTTCAATTACAAAACCTTTGTGAATGTCTCAAGATCGCACATCTTTTTTTTAGAGAAACTCATATTGCTCAGCCTGGAAGGGTCTAATACTGTCCCTGATAAAACAGACCTATGGTTACATCCAAAGGGCCATTTGAAGTACAAAAAAGAAAAAAAAGGAAAAAGAACTTTGAAGAAAGAACTCATTAGAATTCAAGGCGGAGGTTAGTGATGAAAGGATGAAAACAATAACCAAGAGTTAGACTAGAACCCAAAGAAGGGGTCCCTCTTTGCCCGTTGCGCTGCGCTGATGCTAGTCTCAGCATTGCTGCCCTCATCAACGCTAACGCTCCCTGTGCTAGAGTCAGACGGCGATGGGTTAGCCATCGTGCGTGCAGCGGTGTAGTGGCTCGTGTACGGCCCTGTTAGGTTGCTGGGGCATTCTGCTGCGAAGCGTTCGTCGCCCCACCATTAAGGGATCTTCCTGCCTTTCGACTTAACACATTTCACCCTTTTCAACCTCCAACTTTGCCGTAGAATCCTCCTTTGTGTGGTCTGATGCCTGTAATCCTGATGTAACTTGGGTTCGGGTTGCCCCCAAAGCGGAAAGCTGAACAGTTTACTATTTTGCACGAAGGAGATCCACTAGTAACTTATCGTAGTAGGAGATGTTTCCGCAAATGCCATGTACAGGGGTGGCCAAAAAAAAGAGACACTTAGCTCATAGCGCACACCATCGAACTTTTCGTCGCACAGAGAGCCGATGTTAATCAAAGTTTCACAGCGGAATATTCCTTAGGTGTTCTCCCGTAAACAGAAGCAGGCCCTCATTCACTGCCCCGCCGCCTTCAGAATATGACGTCATCTGCCGTCGCCGTCGAGCTCAACGAGGCTTACCGTAATCGCTCCGACCTGAAGCTGCTACATAATTTCTTCAATGGAATAGTTGTTGAATGGCTTCCCTGAGACATTAGCTGTGACTATGCAAAACTGCTTTTGACCAGCGTTCGAGAGACGTCGTAATCGTCTATGGTATCTCAGCGACCTCGTTGAGCTCGTACCGTGCGCAACGCTTCTGTAGGAAAATCTTCTGATGTCATCAGTGTAGAAGGCTGCTGGTAGCTTGTTAATAGATTATAACGTGCTCTTTAATATTCGGTTGGGGTCATTTGATTTGGTCCTGCAACGCGTAAATAATTCCGTTTTGAATGTGGCGTGAAGTGTCTCTTTTTTTTCGGCCACCCCTGTATATGGGGCGGCGCTAGCAGCAACACGGTCCATGGATTGAGTGCCGTCCACACAAGCTTTGTTCTTCGTATCTTGGGTACTTAAATGGTACAGGACATGCCGTGGGAAGAATAAAAGAACCTAGATAAGTTAGAATATTTAGGCCCTTTATTTATTTCGTGGCCCATATTACTTCTACAGGGCTAAATTCCAAATGCATGGATCATCCCTCAAGGATTGACGAACATAGATTACTCCACCCTTTATGGGCTGATGGTTCTTTCATTGATACAGTGGTAACACTGTGTTGATTCAAGGGTTTTGATTCATTTTTCGCAGTATTATTGATTTATATGTTTTTAATTTCAATTGCGACCAAAATACTAGTGTTTTGTGTAGAAAAAAGGGCGGCCTTCGCAAGTGTCGTTGCTTATTAAGAATTTGCTGGAATCTGGTATGATTTTTTATAGTTCTCGAAGCAGCGTCGGAGATAGGTGTTGGCTCCCTGGTTGGAGCAGAAGATATCGCTGATCCACAAGGGGAGCACTTGGGTAAGCTTTAAGGGTCTAATTCGACTTCCACTTATTGATATTTAGACAGACTTTCAACAACTCAGATCTGATTCCTGCTTACTATCATATATCAGCTATTCCTGTTCACTTCACTTGTGAATTTAATCAAAATAGATTAATTGAAGAGGATGCTCAAGCTAGAAAAACATACTTTCGGTTAACTGTCAGCAATAATGTTTTATTTTGTACACGGAAGTGTTCACGTTTGATTTCGTGGGCATTTCTGAATTCTTAGGTATTATGGCTCTGGCGGCGGCTTTGTGTGCAGTTGGACCTCAACCGAATTTCCCGACAACTCAATGCTTCACTAATCAGCAGGTGGGTACCACTAGAATATTGGATTCAAGGTATTCTTCGCGATGAAATTAAATGGCGAGGTTCCCGGTGAAAACATGACTGCTAGTCCGGCTTAGATTTCAGCTCCTTCACTAGGGAAAGCGTGCAAAATGCTCGTTGAAGGCAGCGATGACGATAGACTCTGGGGGCAGGCGAGATGGAGAGGTTGTAAGGGTCAGGTACGCCAATGGGGAGAAAGCAGAGAAAATTGTCAAGAAAACGCAAAGCGGGACTACTTTGTTCGGCTATTGATTTGCGCACGAATCTCTTTCACTGAGGGTCCACTCTCAACTGGAGATCCGAGCCGGCTTTAGTGGCGAGGCTACGTGGCGCGACCCCAGGTGGCGGATAGGGGTAAAATCGCGGACAAAGCCACCATGTCTTGCCCTGAGACGCAGGTGGATTCAGGGATCGACTCCCTGTTTCTGTAGTGCCTGTTGGTTCATTCATACCAGCTGTTCCACTCAGGCCATCCATGCCATGCTGCGTGTTGTGGGCGTCTGTGTGTGATGCGTTGGTAATCTGCATGTTCGGCACAGGCAAACGCTTCCATTCAAGTGACTATAAGTACGATCGGGAGGCGATTCGGCGCGCCTCCCAAAACTAAGCTCCTTGTTTCCGTCCAAGGGTGGCTGTACTACCTTGGAGGTCTACTCCTAGGCCACACGGACCCGAGCCTGGCAGCTACTCGCTGGGCCTTCGAACTGGGATGCGAACACCAGTATGGATGGGTCTCATTCCTCTGACCTGGGACGCCCCTAATACGGCGAGCGTTGGAGTAGGCGCTAGAATCTCAGGGCCCGATAGGCTGCCTAAACGGAAGAAGGACTATGAATGGCGATGTGTACTTTTCAACGCACGAACGCTTGCAATCCGAAGCTTCACATCGACGATGTGATGGTGCAGGCCAAGGAAGATAAATACGGACATCAATCGGACTTGAACCCCGTGAGAGCGAGAAGACACGCGCTCGCTATCACCGCTGTTCGATACTGGAGAAGGAACTCTCTCTTGAACATGCGACACGCGAGAGACGTTGGCGGTATGGGGTGTACTCGTACAACACGCACTCGGCCATAAACAATAGATCGTACGAAAGCCTTACGACCCGAATCGGACGTTTGAGATGAGAAGATTGCTGCGCATGCAACTGTCCGTGCTTTGACAATGCTTCGTCGCCTACGCCACCAACATCGAGCTAACGACGAGGAGGAACACGATAGCATTCTATATGGATTGGATACCTTCTAAAAGAGTAATCGTCGGCCGACTTTAACGCTAAAGATTGGCCCCCAAGAGACGGCTTGAAGGACTTCACAATCGGTACTCACGAATGGAATGGATGAGGCAGGGGTGAGAAAGACTGTCGAGTTAATTCATGTCGACCAACACCACTCCTAACAACTCACAGTTCCAAATGACCCCCACACCTCTCGTTGGACTTGGTTCACCGTGATGGGACAGTTACCATTAACGAGATAGACACATCATCCTTCAATCGAAGGTTTTGCTCTGACCGACGTCGCTGTTGTTCCAAAGTTCTACAGCGGGATGCGAACCACCGTCTCCTACGCGGCGAGTATTCCACTTCTGCGATGCGTGTTGAGAGAGCGGAAAGTCCCGGGAGCGAAGCCTCAGGACAATCATCAACTGAGGAACCCACTTCGCTTCCTCGTCAGCTTATTGGAGGATGGTCGTTATCGGAAACGATCGACCGAGGAGTACTATCTGGCTCTTGAACATTCGTTACGACTGTGGCGAAGCAGAGAAGTTGGCAAAGCTCACCAATGGAGCGTTCTGTTCTCGGAACTTAACTGAATCCGGCAGGTGGAGCCGACACGAAGCTGCAGTCAATCACCAACTCACAGTCGAGTTGCGAAGCTATGCAGAGAGGCGATAAATGAAGATCTCAAGCGAGCGAAGACAGCAGTAATTAGCCTGAAGCACGCAGAGGTTGGAGGAGAATCCGCAATGTCCGCCGAAAGCTGGTCAGCTGACAAGACCAAGATGATCTGCCTCCGACGTCCTGATGGAACAGTTACTGCATCCCGAAGGGCAATGGAGAAAGTCAGCCACGACTTCTACTCGGAGCTCTTCGATAGCCATGTCCATCTGCCCACTTATCAACTGCAACAGGATGGATATGTCGTCTTCTCAGTTCCAATCGGTAGGAGACTCCCTCGTAAGGGTTATAAAGAAAGAAGTGTCAAGCGATGCAGCAGAACTTGAAGCATTGAATTTTTCATGCCTATGTTACTGTACCTCTCACATGTGCTGTTGAGTTTTTGCAAAACAAACAAGCGCGTGAACGTTCACATGAAGTGGCCGTGCACAAAAACCATGACCCATAGCTTTGTTTCTCCTGGGCAAGCTGCAGTGGTCAACAAGAGATAGAATGTGATAAGAACTAGAGACGTGCTCAGTTTCTGCAATGTACCCTGTTTTATTGAAGGTGAACCTCGATCTGGCCTTCGCTGACGGCGGTGAGGTGCGGGTAGACGAACTTGGTGTTCGAGGTGCGTTTCAACCGTTTCCTTCGTGATTTCTTTGTTCCTTTATAGATCACTTGAAGTAGTATAAATGGTCCTGTGCAGTGGTTGTAGCCCTGGGAACTAATGATTTTAGAAGGAATGAGTACGACTTTTTAAAGCAACCCCTCGTGAAGATGTGACTCACTTGAAAGTTTTTCCATCGAATTTTTCTCTTTCAATCAATTGTTTTCGTTCGGCATGTTTTGATGAGGGTCGTGGCTTGATTGCTAAATGAATTTTCGATGACTAAGTCAACCATGTGGTCGCCCGTCAAAAATACTATTCGTACAGCAGAGATTTACTCTTTTACTCTTCGTTTATACACTCGTGACCGTCATTGCCATCCAACAAAAATTTAGTAGGAACAATTCGCCACTTGTTCGTAACGTCTGTAGTTTGGGTAACAGGATGGAATGGTATATGATGAGAGAAATTTGGGTACCCGACAGGAAGCCCGTCGCATGAAGAAAACAGAGACGCAGACGGATCAGCGGGCGAGTCGCAACGAGTACTGTGGGATGTGGGACGTACTACAGTTCATCCATTTGAATTGACGCTAATCGAGACCGCCTAAAGAGAGTGGTGAGATCGCGAACTTTTTTCAAGCGAACGCCATGGTTGGCCCAGGTTCCATGACAATTTAGTCGACGCTAAGTCAGGCGTTAGCCTTTAGTCATCTGCTCTGCGTCTGACCTTTCGCAGCGAGACCACTGCAGGAATTGCAGGAAATTCAACTTGTTCTGCGCAAGGCTAGAGCGCAAATGGATAAAGAGCATCTGACTCAGTAGCTAATGTAGCAATCATAGTCCTGCAATGCTTGTAGGAGAACGCAGGTTAGAGCAGGAAACTGGCGCAATCCGGACTGTTCCGGATAATTAAGATGGAAAAGCGGGCGTTGATTGTTATTCCTGCAAAGAGGAAGAAAATCAAGGAGAATTTTTCCCCGACTGCGTTCGAAGTACTATAGTAAAGACTGCCGCTGTAGTCGAGCTAAATACTCGCGGAACGAAGAAATTAGCTGTTTAAGTCTGTCTGTGTGTGTATATGTTTGTATGTATTTGTTTATTTATGGCAATATACATGTGTATATGCGTGCAAATGGGTGGAGTCACTTGGTGGGCGTATCTTATTGGAAAACGCTGTCTGTGCGGGGTGGAACAGGGGGGGGGTTTCATAAGTTTTTATCATTTGTCCAAAATTCAAGCACATTCTGCATCAAAAACTTTTAGCCACGCGTTTTGTTCAAAAGGGTTCAAAACTGCGATTTCCAATGCATCGATATTTCCCGGCTTAGGCTAGCCCTCGACCATTGAAGCATCCATTAACACTGGCTTGGCTTGGCTGCTGAATGGGACCGTATGACTCGTCTGCACGGCAGGTCCACCATCGTTGAGTCAGCGGTTTCGGCGTCATCCTTGCCGTCGAATCTTGTTTTGCAAACCGTGTCGAGATAAAATTTGACCCTGGTCACTCAACAGTCCCAATACTATTTTTGAGCCTACGATTTTAATCCTTCGAATATATCAGTACGGCTCTTTCCGAAGGTACCATTTTGATCTATTCTGAAGCCTCCCAAAGATCTTCATAAGTTTGAAGTTTGATGAGGAGCGCTTTCTCCGAATATCGTCTCTTTGTTTATCGTTCACCGTTTATTTATAACGATAGTGGTTGTAATTTATAACGGCGCCTGAAAATGCGGAAGGTTGGAGACGCTATTACTACCGTACTTTAAAGGAAAGTGAAGTCAGACCCTGCACGTCAAGCAATGCTGTGTCCTTCATCCTCGTACTAGGTGTGGTATGTTTTTAAGGTAGTTTTTAGACCTGATTGGATTAACGTCACTAAGCTTTCAAATGGGCGGAAGTGGTGTAGCGGCAAATGGCGCGCTTACCAGGCGAGCGGTCCGAGGATCAAATCCTGGGTCGTGAGTTACCCGTGCCAACCAAGTATTCCATGCCTCCGCGGTCGGTCAATTGGTACCAGATTGGTCTGGGAGGATAAAAAACACTGACTTGAACATCGGCTAGCCCCCGCAAGTCGTTGTATGGGCCACATCGCATTCAAACGCCACTGCGAATTTACGAATGGAATTAGAATGCGTGCCGCATCCCAAAAAGGGATTGATCAACGGCAAATGCTTTGTCCTTTATCCTTATCCTTAAGCTTTTAAGTAGCGTTATGTAAATATTATACTTGATATTCGTTGAAATCCTCATCGCCTAGTTCTCTAGTTCGGTAATCGCTTTATGGCAAGTGGTAGCAAATCGTAAATGTTTTCCATGTAATGATCTATTATCCGACGGAAGCATTACTAAAACTCAATAGTTAGGATCAATAAGGCTGTTAGGGGTCCTACACTTGCGCCAGTACACGTGATAAACGTGAGCAAGCTCAACACATTGGTGACATCCCGTTGCGCGCTCATCACGACAGCTTTTTTTGTTATTATTTTTTATTAGTCATTATTTCTACAACAATATCATCACTGGTAATCGGTGCACAGTTTCCGGATAAGATAATGGATCCAGACTGTGATGGAATACCAACGGTGCCAAATAAATCAAACAAAACGAGCCTTATCCGTGTGAAATTTGATGCGCATGCGCGTTATGCGGTTAATCCACGTACCGCGGCGCGTATATTTGATGAGAAAATTATTCATTAACACAGGGTAAAGGTAGTAAGTGAGTCAAATGTGCGGTGAATCAAAATGAAAAAGTATTTTGAAGAAGTTAAGCAGGAAAAAGTTTCGTAATACTTTTAGAGTAAGCCATTTTTTCTGAGTCTAAAAATTCATCACACCAGCGTTGTTTCTTTTCTACTACAGCTACTACAATGTAGGAAGAAAAAAGAAGGCTGCGGTTAATTTTTTCGATACAAAAAAACAAAAAAATTTGGGGGGTTCCTCATAGGGCGCAATCTCACATATATACTGTTCTCCCCATTCATACAGTTCGTTTGCAGACGTCATGAGCCTTTAGGTAGATTTTTTCATTAAATGAAGGTCATGCATGAATGACCGCTCTCTAAAGGCGTTCATGTTTCATTGAAAAAAAAATAAATTGTTGATAGTTATTTCTTTTCAAAAATGAGTCACGCACTCTACTTTCAATCGGAATTGTGGTGGCACTTTGCATAACACAATAGCAGATCTAGTGCCAGCTGATCGCTATAGAAGGGAATGCTAGCTTGGATTAACTGGGTGGAACTCGTTCTTAAGATCACTTGGCCATGATGGGCGACAAGACTTCCCGCTACGCCTTTGCCCGCCCTATTTTTTACGGAGCAGAACCCACTGATGTGAATGGAGGGAACCTAAGGTCCCGCATTTGGCCAATTTATGGGTGTCGTACCTCGAATGCGATTCTCCCATGACATAATCACCATAAAACATGCATTCAATATAAGCTCATGCGATGTACTTCTCTACTTGGTTTCTTCCATTCATCGGCATATTGCACTATCTCGGCGCTCATATTTCCATTCCTTTTCTATTTTGTTGTCATTTTAGTGCTTTGCTCACTCCTGCTTGTTATTGCGATGCCTTAAGGCTGAAGGAATTCACAGCTTTTGAAACTGAAATTCTTCCGAAGTTTTATGTCGAACGTTGTCATAAACATCACGCAGCGGCAGTGAACGCCGTTATCACGGTACCACCATCCGGTCGGGTTCTGATCAATCCTGACAATTGCTAGTGGTTCAGTGTTGGTTTGACTTGTTACAGAATTAACGAAGGACAAAAGAGGTTAAAGCGTTTGGTCTTGACCACTCCCGTTTTAGAGTGCGCCACACACTCTACTTCCGTTCAGAATCGTAGTGCAATTAAAATGCGATCTGGCCTGGCTTTGCGGGGCCGGCTGATGTACAGTTCAGCGTTTTTTATCCTCCCAGAACGTTTGGATCCAATTGAATGATCCCGGAGGGATGCAAGGCGTGGTTGGCCCGGACGGCGCTTGACCCAGGATTTGATCCCCAGGCCGCGCGTGGGGTATGCAGCTAGCTAAGCACTTGCCACTACTCTGCTATGAATAAATATAAGTCCACCTAAAATGTTTTTGAAAATTTGTATGGTAGGGTGTTTCTGGGAAAGCCTTCAAAAGAAAAATGTGCTCAATAGTATGAATATGATTTTGAGTGTCAACGCCAACTTCTATTCGAAAACACTATTATACTATATACTATACTATATACTATATTTATTTATACTATATTTTTACTATATTACTACATATTTTATATTCTACTATATTTTTTACTATATTTACTATATTATTTATACTATATTTATTTTTATCTTATAAAAGGGATGATTGCAGATTGCAGATTTTGCAAAAAAACATAGATCCACCCCATGTTTCTCGGTTGAACTTCATTCTTACTTGGTGGAACTGTTGGGTTGCTTACATTTTCACATTCTTAGATGATGACGAAAGTGACACCGCTGTCGGACTCAGAACAAGGACGATATCTACCAAAGAGTGAGGAGATTTGCCGTGCGGTTAAACCGCGCTTGGTTTCAGCCCAGTTTATATTGTTGCTAAGCATTTCGTCAAGAATCCTCATATGGAATGCAAAAGAAATTTTAATCTTTTTCTTCGCGTTTTGGTTGCGATACCCGTCGCGTTATTGGAAAAGCAACCGATTCTTTCAAGGGGTGCTCAAGGATCCAGCCGTCAAGAAAACTTAATTTTTCGAAAGACACCGTTTGGCGTGTATTAAAGGAACTTTGAGACCACTGTTCGACAAAAAATGAGTAGGGCACATCTGAATACGCAAAATAGTAGCAAAAACCAAGCCAAACTCCCCAAAATCTGTGGTTGAACTGGCCGGAGCGAGGTCATGTTGGTTGCATTGTACCTTTCACTGCTTGTTTTAACTTCTCTTACTGTTTTTCTTTTTCAGTATGAGTTCTTCGCATGCCAGGCACATCTGTAGAAAAATAACTGAGAGAAATGCAGACAGACTGTAAAAAGGGTTGGGTGGA